CGAGTAGTATAATAATGTATGTTTTGATGGTTTTCTGATGTGTAACTTTTATAGTTTTATTTATGATGAATTTGTTTCTTTTTTTTTTGTTTCTTAATAAGATTGAAGATTAATCATGGACATTAATCACATTAGACTAAACATAGACATTTTCCGTGTAATTTCCTTTAGTAGATTTGTAGCCATTGATAATTATGGTATACCTATGCTAATATACGTGATTACGTGGGCCTTTTTGGTTATTATTATTATTATTATTATTATTATTATTATTATTATTATCTCAAAAACAAAAGTCATGTAACCTACAATAAATTATTATTATTATTATTATTATTATTATTATTATTATTATTATTATTTTGTGTAGAAAGAATAATGGACTTTACCCCCAACATGTACGCAATTATCGTAAAAGTACACAATAATTCAATACATGCATATTCTTGGTGCCATTAGCTCTAACTTCTAAGGACAATTTATTTTTCTACAAGTGGTTATATTAATTTGATTAATCATGTTATGCGTAATTAGCTTGCAAGAAATACCATTTAATAACTATTATGATAATAAATATTTGTTTAGAGCCGGTCTTCGTTCTAACATGGAATCTAGCTAGAGTCAGCGTGAAAAGAATGAAGGCCACGAGTCCAAATCTCGCCCTCTCCCCCTCCCCCAGCCACGCACCCCGTGGCCCCATCCCCCTCTTTTCAAGTGGAATATTTAGTATCCATATTTTAAGCTCAACCGACTCTTGTGTGAGGTTGTGTGATAATGTGTAAAAACCAATTTCAAATTCCAACCATTAGTTTAAAGTTTTGGTTAACTTGACATTCTAACAATAATTCTATATTACCTTTATAATCGAACAATAGTATTGGTTATCAGCTCTTTTCGGAGCTGTTCACATTTACTGAGCTCGGCTGAACTGAAGTGAACTGAACTGAACTAAAAATAAGCTGAAGTAAATAGACCCTTTCCCCTCTTTTCTTTTCGGATATATGTTTTAGATCTTATTTCGAAAATAACCAAAATTTACAATAGATTTCATAAAACGCATATTATCTATATTGTAAAAAGAATATTTTTGTAATGGATCAATTAAATTGAGACAGATTTAGTATAAAACTTTTATATCACATATTCACATGCAGCTGGCTGTTCGGTTAAATGGAGCACACAGGACAAATGTGATTTGACTTTGCCATAGTAGTAAATTTTTCCTAATAGGCATGCAAGTCATACCAATAAAAGTCAAAGCCATGAGATTAACTAATTAATTAAGACAAAGTCAAAGACATAAGATGATTAGCAACCCAAGTCAAAGACATAATCAAAATTTTCAACCTCTGTTTAAAGAGGTCAACGTACGACTGTTTAGATCAATAAGCATTATTGATGAAACTAATTTATTCCTTTCTAACAAATGATTGTTAGTTTTGCACAATTTATCTAAGAATAAATTATAGGTAAGATTTTTTTCTTTTTTGCACTAAAGCCTAATTCTATTTGACGCAAAAATCTAACATGTCCAATGTTACCTTTTTTGTTAGTAGTTGCTTCAAACTAAGGATGCATAAGTTTTGAAAAAGTCCAACTCAAATTAGACGAAATTGCAATGATTATGATGACTTATATTTGTACTTGAAAGTGTAAGTGGGTTGAAAAGAAATTAAAAGACTCAATTTGTAGTTGGAAACTTAAATCATTTATATGGCATGGTAGACTTTAGTATGTATGTATACATGTGTTTTGAAATTTAGAGCCATTTGAGATTTAGAGGAAATAAGAAGGAAGTTCACAAATAAGTCCATTTTATTTCAAGAATGTAATGACTATATCTCACTATAAGGTACTCGTTTGGGAATTATTGAAGTCTAGAAAAAAATCTTCTCTAATAAGTTAAGCTACTTGTGAAAATTTCATTGTCGTTGTTAGAGAATATAGCTTTAACCAAATTAAATTACTAAAATAACATAGGCACTTAATCAACAATGTATGGTATAATTACAATTCCCAACTCACCCAAAGTTTAGGTTTTTTTTTTTCTTTCTTTGTTATTTATTTATTTCCTTTGAGAGAATTTCAAATAAAATGAATAAATGAACGTTAATTGTGACCAAAAGAAACACATGATAAATTATAAATCCTAGTGTATAATGAGTGATTTAGATCTTGTAAAGTTGTAAATAGTTTTGCAAGGAAGAATTTGAGCAATCATAACCTTTCACTTAAAATCAAAGATCAAGATAAATGTTTTACACCACTTTCAAATCCATGTCTTCAAATATCCCATTCTCTCCTTCAACACCCATGCATTCACCACCTACCCTAATAATCGCAACCATTATTACATGTTGCAAAGCATAGGTAGTCGATGCATGCTACCTTAGACTTGCACTAATTAATTTTATACTTAGGGTCTGTTCTGATTTACTGAACTGAATTGAGCTTAATTGAACTGAATTGATTGGAGCTGAACTTAACTGAACTAATTAGAGCTGAAAAGAAGAAAATTAAGAACTGAGCTGAACTGATTGGAGCTGAATTGAACGAAAATCAAGCCGAAGAGAACAGACCCTTCGATGGTGTGTGTATAACAAACCAAGGACAAAGTGATGCTACATACCTTGTCACATGTCTTGTCCCTGTGACTTAACATTACATGATGCCTCATCACATATAGCATGTGTTGATCTCAACCTCACATAAAATCTGCATATACACATAATTTTAATGCACTTTTGACAAGGTTTTATAACAAATGCTCCCTATACCCACAATTTTAAATGTGGACCATCACAAATTCACAATGTTATTGAAGAAACAAGACATGCTAATTATACAAACTAAAATGAAATAGTTAAGACGCCACTAAAAACTTAACATGGAAAGACAAGAGTAAACATGAAATTAAACCGTAGTTGTACACTAGTACACCCTAAGGTAGTATAAAATAATAAAAGGTATCGACCTTCATGTCTCGAGCCACCACCATAGCTCTTTTTGACACCTTTTAAGCATGACCTTCTCAAACATAGTTCTAAACCAACACGAGTCAAGTTAACCTACCAAAATCAAAATTTTCCTAGCTTAGTGATATGCACCAGCTAACATTTTCAATTTTTTCCTCAAGCTCCCCCTTGAATTCTTGATTATAACATCTTATCTCCCTTCCCCCAAACATTAAACTGCTCATCATTTGCAAAAGACATGCCTTTCCAAACTTAGCTTGTCACTCTTAAAGTTTCGAAAAATTTCTATACATACATGGAGAGGAATGAATTAAGCTCTCATATAATGCTAGTGGGAAATTATCGAGTTAAATTCATTTATATGCTTGGCAATAGAACTGGTATTTTTCATCTCAAGTTTAAAACAAACGATATATTAATAACACTCTATTCATGATTGACGGTTTCTCATACGTATAAATTGGACATTGTTTCCCACACCTTTGTCTTTGTCTTTTCATCGTTGACATTGTAAGAAACATATATTTTTTTTTTCAAGGTCAATCTAATCACTCCAACGGCTTGTCTATCCAAGTTTTTAGAATCTTCCTCCTTCATTATGGATGGTCCCTTGCCCTTATAAGGCTAAAATATATTATTTTGGTATAAATACTTCTATATTCGCATCTTCCAAAATCCAAAATCCTTCCCATGCATCAATTTTCTTGATTTTCAACTTGCTATATCCATTATTAATAATACACACAAAATTCACAGTATGATTTCAACAACGAAGCATGAAACTTAACTTCGAAGAATCAACTTTAATTATTCAAAGAACCAAACTTTGAAAATGAAAGCCAATGTTAAACCACAAGTATCACACAAACCTTAGTCACAAATACACTTTAAATTGGCTCTAATGCCAAATGTCGTGATTTAGATAGGAAACTAGTTTGCAATTGCAACCCACAATCAACTTAGAAAGAAAAATAAGCAATCAATTACAAAAGAAAAATAAACAATGAAACCCGTGAGCAACGTAAAAGACCCACATTTGCACAATAGAGCAGTATTGATGACGAAAAAATCAAAGTCACAAGAATACTCCTCACAAAAACTCTCTTAAGTGTCTTAAACCCTCTTAAAGTGTATGAAGTTTGTGAATAATAATAATGATAAACGAGGCAAAACAATATATTATGTATATAGTTTAGGGCTTTAAAACAATCTAATGGGAAATATTCTTCCATGAAGCAAGGCCGAAGTTGTAAAATCCCTAAAACAGAGCAAATGGTTTGAGCGAATAATGCTCAATATCCGGCCTACGTCTTGGTTCATGTGAACCTATAGTTTGGTTTGGGCGAACTTTTAGGCAGCCTCCAAGTTCTTGTCATTAAAGCTCGATTTTGGGCGAATTTAACTTCCTTCCTACGCGTATTAGCAAATAGTAGAGTTGGGCATCGTGTCGTGTCAGGTCGTGCCTCGCTGTGCAGCTCGTGCCTAGTGGTAGGTCGTGCCATGTCTTGCATGCACACCCCAGCCCACGGCACAGCCCACGTGCGTGGTGTGCCGCGTCGAACACCGACAACCCATAGTTATTTATTTTTTATTTTTTTTAAAAAATCGATATATAATATATTTTTTTAGAAAAAATTATGCTCAAACTTATTGTGACTACCTAACATATTAAGTAATGTGTTAATTTTTGTACTAAATGGGGAATTACTTGTGCCGTGTTGGCGGGCTGTATGTGCCACGGGCCGAATTGTCGTGCCGCCTACAGGTTCGAGCCGAAATTTCGAAACTGTGTTCACAACACGACCCACGGCCCACTCCTCCTTTGTGCCGTGCCGGTCCAATCTTGTGTCGAGCCCGTGCCGCCCGCGGGCCAGCACGGCCCATGCCCAGCTCTAGCAAATAGCAACCCTTTATGACTCCATATTGGATTGACCTTTTCTCCAAGCCAATCCGAACACCATAAGTCCATGAATCCATAACCCAAACTTATACACATAATTAGCCCAATCTAAACCCAGAAAAATCTCTCAACATCCACCTATCTTCTGGGCTTACCATATCAACCCCATCTTCTCTCTCCACTCTACTCACTCCCTTATCTGCGTATCTCAACAACAACAACAGTAGCAGAGGAAGAAGAAGAAGCTCAAAAGAGCAATAACAATGGCGGCTTTAACACAGCAATTAGCAGGAGGATTAAGATGCCCACCACTCTCAAATTCCAACCTTTCAAAACCCTTTTCATCAAAACACACTCTTAAGCCTCGATTCTCCCCAATTGTATCAGCTGTTGCTGTTAACAATGCTCAGACTAGAGAGAGACAGAAGCTTAAACAGCTCTTTGAGGATGCTTATGAACGATGTCGTACTGCTCCCATGGAAGGTGTTTCCTTCACCATTGATGATTTTCATACTGCTCTTGATAAGTATGACTTTAATTCTGAACTGGGTACCAGGGTAATTCTTCTTTTTTCTTTTTTTTTTTTTGTAATTTTTATGAATTTTTGGGTGATTTTATTGATTTTGTTTGATGGGTGTTTCGTGGAATTTAGTTTGTTTCATGGGTATTGATTATATACGGTTGATTATACTGTATGTTTTGAGATTACATATTCTCCAATTTTGTTTTAGGTTGTAATTAGGTGATTGGAAAAAAAAAATAAAAAAAAAATTGATTGGTAGCCTTGTGTTTTGTTGGGTGGGATAGTGCTATGATTCTGTGATTAGTCCCTTCTGTTTGTGGATGGTTTTATGATAAGTTGTGAGTTTGATTGGTTTCGGACTTTATGTCGAAAATGGAAGCTTAAAAATTGTATGATGGAGTATTATATAGCTTTGATGGAGAGAAGGTGTCGAAGTGAATTGTTTCAACTTTTGCCTTTGAAATGAGTACAAAGCCAACTAGAATTACTGTAGTTAGAAATTCAGCTAAGCTGTGAGATTTTGATTTGTTTCAGACCTTAATGTCGATATTGTAACCTTAAATGTTGTGTGATGGAGTATTATAGCTTTGATGGATAGAGAGTGTCAAACCGAATTGTTCAACTTTTGCCTTTTGGAAATAAGTATGTACTAATTAAGCTAGTTAGAAGTACTGTAATTAGCAATGCTGTTTGTGCCTGGTTATTGTATGCTAAGCTGTATATTTCATTGGCTTTGGTCTTTGATGTCGAAAGTGGAAGCTTAAATGTTATTTGATGTAGTAAATTGGCTTTATTGGTGAGAAGGTGTTGATCAATGTTTGTCATATTAGAAATCCTTATCTAGCTAGAATTAATGTAAACTATATGAGGGGAAAGACTAAATTCCCTTAAGAATGTATTTGTTTTGAACTTTAGCTGATTATTTCCAGCTTCCAGGTAATCGCAGAGTCATTTACCTTATATGAACTGGTTAAGTTATAAGTGTTATAGGCAGATGAGTCTTATAGAGTTATTTTTACCAAATGCAAATCTAGATGGCTAAAACTTTTTTGTGGTAGTTTGACATTCAAATGTATTCTCTGCAAAATTATAATTAAAGCTTAGTATAAGAAATTATTAAAATGTATTCTGTTTTGTGGGATCACTTTTGATGTCCACTTAACTAACAAAGTTTATATCTGAGATTAAAATCTACTATGGAGCATAGACAATAAATACTTGAGGAGTTTATAATGGACTGGAGTCCTTGTGAAATTCATGTCTTATATCTATGTCTAAACTTGTTCATTATAATTTTTGTATACTAATGCCCAAATATTTAATCTTTGCTGATATCATTGGTCCATTTGTCTCCACTTTTCCAGAATATTTAATTGTTGTGCTTTATATGCACACCAAAAAATATGGTGGCGTTGGAATTTTTATGCTTAACATGCATTTCATATATTTCTCTGACTTCTAAGAACAAATTAGTTGACAAGGCAGTTTATATCATCAGTAATAGTTTTTCATCTGACTTGTTGGGAATTGGGACAGATATTATTCGTTCACCTTTCGGCTTATTTTTTTCTTTTACAGTTTCATATGCCTTGCTCTATTTTTTATTCGCCCCTAAATGTCACATTTTCTTTCTTTTCTTCACCTCAGGTCAAGGGTACAGTATTCTGCACAGATGCCAATGGGGCATTAGTCGATATAACTGCAAAATCTTCAGCATACTTGCCTCTCCAAGAGGCCTGTATTCACAGAATAAAACACGTGGAGGAAGCTGGGATACTCCCAGGAGTACGAGAAGAATTTGTAATCATTGGTGAAAATGAAGCTGATGATAGCTTAATCTTGAGTTTGCGACAAATCCAGTATGAGCTTGCATGGGAAAGGTGTAGGCAGTTGCAAGCTGAGGATGTTGTAGTTAAGGGGAAGGTTGGTATCATCTTTCTGACATATAATCCAAAGTCTTTTGGTAACATTTTGAGCAATACCTTACTTGGATTAAATGGAGTGACTGTGAGCATTCCAATGGAGTTCTCTGAGCCTGATAACTCACAGTGTTGCAGATCATTCACATATTATTCTTATTGTTTTAGATTGACTTTTCATGCTGTTCTCCAAACACAGCTTAAATCTTGAGATTCTTGATGTGCTGAATGTTGAAAGAGAGAATTTATATTTTTAACCTATTTAGTAAGAGCTCATAGTTTGCTTTCTTCATGTCAGATTGTTGGAGCGAACAAAGGTGGAGTTGTGGCTCTGGTGGAGGGCCTTCGTGGCTTTGTTCCCTTTTCACAAATATCAACTGTTAGTTTCTTCCATCTTGCTTTCTTCCCCCTTCCCTTGTAAATTTCACCTTTCTGACTTTTAATTGGAACTCTTTTGCTGCTATTTGAGCATTACCTAAGCATCAATAATATGTTGTCATGTTTTTGTTCAGAAATCTACTGCAGAAGAGCTTCTTGAGAAAGAGATCCCTTTAAAATTTGTCGAGGTTGATGAGGAACAATCCAGGCTGGTAATGAGTAACCGAAAGGCCATGGCTGACAGCCAGGCACAGCTTGGTATTGGATCAGTTGTCACAGGAACTGTCCAATCTCTTAAACCTTACGGTGCCTTTATTGATATTGGTGGAATCAATGGCCTTCTTCATGTTAGTCAAATTAGTCACGATCGTGTTTCGGATATTGCAACAGTCCTACAACCTGGTGACACATTGAAGGTACTACTATTATATCTGTCATTTAAAATGAATTAGCCTTTTAATACAGGAATGTGATTGAATGCTTGAATAATGTAGGTCATGATTTTGAGCCATGACCGTGAAAGAGGTAGGGTGAGTCTGTCAACGAAGAAGTTGGAGCCTACTCCTGGTGACATGATTCGTAATCCAAAGCTTGTCTTTGAGAAGGTAATTTATCCCCTTTTCTACTCCTGTGAATCATCCAGTTCTTTCAACATGCCACTATGATGGGATAGATCAATAATATGTAGTATGTAGTGTGGAGTCAACAAATACCAAGAACCTACTCTGTATTAGGTGCTCCTGGGAGCATGTGCTCTTAGGCAATATGACAACGATTCAAGTGGGGAAGTATGGGTTTCCTTCCTTTCATCTATCCCTTGATGGTTGCCACATCTTCTAAGTGTCGGAATACATGCTTTTTCAGTCACTTACTATTTTGCTATGGATACCTGTGTCACTAGATCTTGATGCTTACTATATGTCGACTTTGAACTTTGTTCTCTTTTCACCTAAGAGGTCCTCTCAAATGAATATTTGTGGAGGGAAAGGATGAGGAATTTCTTAATGTGTTGTTTTGGTATCCAATTGTTTTTAAGAATCATGTTTGTGATTTGAAATTTCTTGAAGCTGAAAGGTTGAACCTAAAGAAACTAGAATAAATAGTTCCTTTGTTTTTCTGAGTATTGTTAATGGAAAAATGTGAAAATTTTGAACTCCATCAAACTTACAATCATTTATGTCATTATAACCAGGCTGAAGAGATGGCTCAAACATTCAGACAAAGAATTGCACAAGCAGAAGCTATGGCTCGTGCTGACATGCTTAGATTCCAGCCTGAGGTATTACCTTGCATTTTTTTTAATCTTAACATCAATTGCAATGTTTTTAATCAGAACTACATAAACATAGTGCTCCTGGTGTACAGTGATCTTACTATATAACCTGTTAAACTTGCAGAGTGGTCTCACTCTCAGCTCAGATGGAATCTTAGGCCCTCTAACTTCAGATTTGCCAGCAGAGGGGCTAGATTTGAGTGCTGTTCCGCCCGCTGATGAATCCTGAAAATATTTGTCCATCTTTGGCCTGTCAGTTTTGAATTCTGTATCTTAGTTTGTAATTATAATTACTGGCTTCATATTCTTTACACTTGTAATGAAATCTGTCCAATCATCTCATCTGGCCGGTAGTTAATCTTACTGTTCTGCAAATATACTTACTGTTTATGTTATAGTATAAATGCAGCTAGTAATATTTGAGAGAGCCAATGGATCAAATATTGCATTCGTTTTGGTACATGTTTACTGCTAGATATTTTGTTCTTAAAATATGTTCGATGGATGGCCCTTCTCTAGAGAGAGTATGAATGGACAAATTTGAACCATCACCCACTAGATATAGTTAGATTTTTGCAGTTCACATCTATGACTTCCCTCAATAATTGATCTTATCCAGCAAAATATGAGAAAAACATCACAATCTTTTGTAGATTTAAATTAGCTACATCACTCAAGAAGTTCTTGGGCTTCAAGATGTAATTATTCATATTAATATACACTCCCTTCGCTCCTTTTTGTTTGTTCCATGTAGAATCTTCAATTTGAAGATGTAAAAATTTTAACTATTCTCCCTGTTTAAATTTTACCAATGGAACACTCTCATTGGTGCGAAAGGTTTAGAACTTAATAACTTGATGAATTTATGGACCATTATCGAAAAATTATTTCTCAACAATAACTCGCTAATTCTTACTAAATCTTCGATTCAAACTATTCGAAAAGCAATTAATTGTTCAACAAATATGCCAAAAGCTTTTCATAATGTGCTACCAACTTGACGAAGCTAGTTACTTTTCATTTCGTTGGAACTAGGTGCTTGCCTACAGCAGTACAGCTATTAACGAAGTTGAAGTTCAACTAACTATAAAAGAGCTCGAGTTGGTTAGTTTCAAGTTTCAACAAAGTTAAAGAATTTGCTGAATTGCCGACATAGAACAATCGTGACTCCTGCATTTACATTTTGTTACGAAGTAGTAGGCTCGTATTTACATCTTAGAGTGCTCCATCAAGTTCCAAATTCCTGTATCCTTGTATAATTTCTGTAGTACTATACCATATTCCCATCGTCTTGCTGATTCTATCCTTTCAAAAAATTTCACTGAATGCCCAGTTGTGTTGCAGGCTCAACAAAGTTCAAGTAAAGCTCCACAAGAGATCCTCTATGATTATAAACGAAGTTGATGTAAGAATTTCCAAGTTTGTATAGTCAATTTCTCAAGCCTGTGAAATGTCTGTTAAAAGGCAGGAGTAGATTCTATGACAGCAAAACTAAATTGCAGCTTTCTGTACAAAACAAGATTCCTGTGGCCATTGTAGGACAGCCTCAGCAGTAATCTCCAGATTTAGACAGATGGAGCTAGCCTCCAGCTTTGCTAGCAGCCTTCTTTCCTTTCTTTTGCTTCTGCTTCAATTGACTTAAGCCCGCAGCAGTAATCTTTGAGTTTCCAATCATAGCCGCTACCAGTTCAGGGTCAGTACATGCTTTCATGAGCTCCTTCTCTCGGCCGGATGCTTCAGGCATGTAATTAAACAAATTCATCGCAGTTTTTGCAGCTAAAAAAAAAAGAAAAAGAGACAGATGTACATCAGATCTTAGAGGTGATAAATTCATAATTGATCTAACATATCCTACATTCATCTGATCCACTAAAACTATTTCATCAAGTTCACAGAAATTCCTGTTAACAACTAAAATCCACTAATGTCAATGAAAAAGATTGTCTACAACAGCATATATGGTTGAAGGCTTCCATCAAAGAGAAAAAGTTGTGCTATCATATGAAAATCATACAATATTTCCAAATGGTAGTTTCTGTTCACGTGTTAAAATATCTTTTAGATTCCAAATTACAGTGGCTAGAAACACACTTACATAGACATGTGTCCTAAAACTTCTTTTAACACTACTCCATAAAAGATATTGGTAAATGTGCCATATTGTTCACTTTTGTAAGGCAAATGGAATGAACTGTTTTCACTTAAATTGGCTTCTTAACCTGAAAGGTTTATATAAGTTATATAAACATGAAAGACTTAATCGCTTAAATGAGCTGCGCTTTCAGTTACTAAATGGATGTTTAAAGGTGAGCATATCAAATCAATCAGAATAAACAATGGAATGAAGATGGTCTGAATACCTTTTCCTTTCTTTGCTGTGCCGGGAACTATCTTCACTCGGTATTTGTACGTTTGCAATGCATTATATGGACCACAGACAGGCACAGCATATAAAAGAACATCATTCGGTAGTGGGTTACCAGTCAAATAATCCACATCATTAAGCTTCCCTTTTTCTTCTTCACCTATCTCATGTATATCATCCTCCTCCATTGCCAACTCTTCCATCTCAGAAGTAGCAACAGCTGAATCTCCATCAGGATTCTCAAGCTTCCCATTCTTATGGTCACGTGATATACCTTCGGACTGCTCTGGGCATTCACGAGAGAGATGACCAGGTTTCTTACACTTATAGCATAGTTTCAGAACATCTTCTGAGCCTGTAACATAAGAATAAATCAGTCAATTCTTAGTGGATAACTATCTAATCATATATAGTTCACAAACGTAATATGGTAATTAACACCCAGTTGCCTTGTCACAGTGGATTTCAAATTATAAGAGTATTGCAAGAGTGTTATAACTTATAATTAGGCGATTTCTTTATTTATTTATTTTTTTTCCCTACCTTATAAAAAGTTCAAAAGAACTCTAATGAATAGTGTGCTGACTTATTTACCCCTAAAAATGTTTTATTTACCCATATACCCATTTATGTCGTATTAACTCTTATGCTTCCCGTATTTATTTCTCTTAGCTTCTTTAGTCTTCATTCCCTTCCAACTTCCATCACCCAAAGTTATTTTTCTTCTAACATTAGAAGACAAAACTATTTAACATGATAATAGTCCTCTTCAAGGGGTGGGGGAATAGGCTGGATAATCCACTTTGTTACTATTTTCATTAAAAACACACACACACACACACAAATCCACCTAATTTAATCACCTCATCACCTAATAAGATTTTTTTTTGAAACTTTCGCCGTTAACTTCTAGTTGCAACATTTTAACTTTCACGTTTGTCAATACATAATTTCAATCTCTTTTATCTCACATTATATACATGTAAAAAATCTAAAGATTAGATTTTTAAAACACATATATAAATCGAGATGAATCTAATAAGATCCCACATGACTATTTTGCCCAACAAAAAAAGTCAATAAAAATAAAGATCAATTATAAAAAAAATGAAAAATGTATACTCCCTCCGGTTTCAATTACCTGCAACAAAGACAACTTTTACGGACCCCTAGGCAAAACTTTTAGGGAAGTTTAATGACAAGTTAGGGTGTTTAATTAAGTTGGAAAAAAGGAGGAAAATAGGAGAGAGAAAGTGGTGCATGTGACTAAATTTTGCATGTGGGTACATTTGAGTGGGAAAAAAAAGGAGAGAAAAGGTGGTCCCCTTTGTGTATAATTAAGATAAGTTAAACAAATTTAAAACAAAAAAATAAGGGTAAGGATGTCTTTTTACACTATAAATTTTACTAAAAATAGAAATAAAAAATTTGTTACACATAATAGGTAGCACCCAATTATGGCAAATGTTGTAGATAATTGAATACGGAGGGAGTATACATTTTCAAGTGTTGCAAGCTTGCAACTAAAAGTGATGGATGATGTATACTATAATTCACAACAAAAGCCATATTGCACCATAAAACACTTACAACTAAAAAGTGGATAGTGTATATATATTTTCAAGTGTTACATTTCCGTACCTACGCAAGGAAATAATTGTCAACAATATATTTCTTAATATATGCGTTCAAAAGCCTAGCCACTATGTTTTGGGTGTCATGACAAACTATTAAATCTCGACCATAAACATCGAATATGTCGCGCGCAACGCACGCGTAAGCTCCCCTAGTAAAAAAAAAAAAAAAAAAAACCACTTTATGCTTTTGTCTAATACTTTTAACCACCTTTTTTCACAAACGCACGTGCGCCCGCCCGCCCACACACACACACACACACACGCACGCACACGCGTGCGCACAGTATAGACATCCCTCACACACACACACACACACAGAGTATAGACATCCTACACAAAATCTCATTTATTGCTCTCATTTAAAGCATAAAAGTCAGTTTTCTACTGTAGATCTGAATAGTCTGATCATGAGCCACTGCTCACCCTTGGCCACATCTCAGTACTAAATATATGAGAAAAAAGATGCCTCAAGTGTCGAGTCACAATTGACCCAATAAACACCTTTAACTTATCACATAAAACAAAATTTATTCCAACCATCGACTAAAGGGACTACTAGCTGTCTTACAATGGACAAACACGGCAACTTTATATGAAAGGAAGAAAAATGTTTTCTGAAGCATATTCCTCCTCCACCATTGCTGTATACTGAGAAGGCAACTATTTGTTTGCATGCTTGATCAATCCTAGCTTATCAATGCTCTATCCTGATATTATTTTTCTATCTTTGTCTAAGTAAAGAGCTTTGTATCCCAAAAACACAACAATTCTACATGTAATTCTATATGTAAGGCAGAAAAATGTTTTCTGAAGCATACTCCACCATCGATGTATACCAAGAAGCCAACTTTCTGTTTGCAAGCTTGATCAATCCTAGCCTATCAATGTATTATCTGATTCTATTCCTTATCCTTATCTAAGAAAACAGCTTTGTATCCAAAAAGCTTAAGTTTTGCATATTCAATAAATGAAAGGCACCTGATTACTCCTGATAAGCTTGAGTTTTGTATTTCGAGTTCTATTTTCCCTAGATGTTGTTCTTGCAAATAATTGGTTCAGTGATCGGTTGAGGTGTTTGATTCTTATAAGCTTATCTAACTCTTATTTATATAGTGCTGTAATGGTATATGGTGCCCAAGGGAGTGGCTTACATCCTCACAAGGATTATGGCAATTTAAGATGGGGAGAGAAGAGATGCAGATTTCCCATTTCGCAACATGTAGACGATACATTTTTTTTTTTTTTTTTTTTTTTTTGGGGGGGGGGGTTAAAAATGTTGTTACAACATTTTGAGGTGGTTTCAGGTTTGAAGATCAACCTCTTTAAGGGGTTGTTTGGTTCGCACGGGGGAATCGGAATGGAATGAACAAAGGGAAAGACAAGGAATGGAATGAAAATCCCCCAAATTTAAGGTGTTGTTTGTTTTGAATAACAAAGGAATGGAATGCCACCAGTC